TATATATATATATATATATATATATATATATATATATATATATATATATATAGTTCACAGGCATTTATTGTAGAGATCATAAGAAAATTATGTATGCGATATCAGTATCAAGGTTTCGAATGACTGCATGGGTCAGTATTAACCGGTCTGACCAAATACTGGTATAATAATATATCACTTGATACCAGTACAATACCATTTATTTTTATTGTTAATATTTTCTTCAACATTGGCAGTGGTACAAATTGATGTACTGCCTGACAACCGGTACCATACTTGTTAATATGCTACCAAAGCTGATAGAAAATTGAGATTTAAATATTTAAATCCTTAAAATTTTTTAATTATAATTTTAACTTAAAACAAAAGAAAATCATGCAAAACCAGTTTACAAGGGCTTGTAGAGAAATAGAACCTAAAAAATTATTTACCACGAGAACACTTTCACATATCATTAAACGTCAATACTACATCTTTCAGTTTAAGAATATCGAAAAATTTTGTAGATAAAGAAGCACCAGTAACTGCATCTGTCTGTGCTTCCATTTACTAATATCACTGTGTTGCTACAGAATATTGCTTATCTGCACTGAAAATTAGTGACAATATATATTCTCATAGTTCTACCATATCTGATTTAATTCATTATTATAACATTTGTCAGTAAAAAATATGTAAAAAATGTAGTTATATTGTGACAGCACTGTGGTTGAGAGCATACTCCAAGCTAATCTTATATAAAAACAAAGTCCAGCAGATCAGCAAGCTAACTATATAACGGAGAAGACCTCAATTGAGAGCTATGTTTATAAATCTTGTGGAAGAAGAAAACACTTGAGCAAGAATTTAATAACACTATAGGGATAGATAGATAGAAAGAAAAGTACAATATGAAATACCTGAACACATAGAGCAATTATGTCAGCAAAACGTGAAAGAGATTTTGCAGGGTACATTCCATTCAATGATGTATCAACCATCTTAGATAATGCATCAATATCATGGAGTTGAGGAGTCGCCCATCTGACAAGGGACTGCTCTGATCTCACTCTAGAACTGAAAAATGCAAGAACTAACAGTTAACAACCAAAATCAGCAAATTGAATAGGCATATGACCAATATAAATGAGATTATATGGCAACGAAAATAGACCTATCCAGTGGCTTCCGACCAGTCAGCAGCTCTAACATCACTACTCCAAAACTATAAACATCACTCTTTATAGTATACACTCCAGACATTGCAAATTCTGGAGCACTGTAACCAAAGGAGCCAACTACCTCCGTTGAAACCTATAAAGTGCAAAGTAATGATTTACAAAGACAAATTTCATGGTCAATCTAATTGGTAACTGATTATTATATTGTTTTCACTTGCCTGTCTCTCTGTGTTTGGTGTTAATGCAGCTAAGCCACAGTCTGATAAGTGAGGATTAAGCTCTTCATCAAGTAGAATATTGGTGGACTTGAAGTTTTTGTGTACTACAGAAGGCAGGCAAACTTCATGGAGGTACCTATGTAGAAGTCAACATATACATACCTGTCTGAGTACATATTACACCAAATTATTGAACCTTACACTGGACTTACTCTAGAGCCCTAGCAGTGCCAAGTGCCACTCTCACACGTGCATTCCATGATAGCCTCTTGCTACTATAATCAGCAAAGTGCAACATATCATGTAGAGTTCCATTTCCAATATACTCGTGAACCAAAATCCGCTGTCCATGTTCAACACAGTAGCCTGAAAGTGGAACAATGTTTGGATGCCGAAGTCTTGACATATTTGAAACAGCCTCAAGAAAATTATCCTCCTCTTGTAAGGATATTGCTGCACTGTCAATCTTTTTAACAGCCAAAACCTGGGAGAGGCAACGAACAGATCAATACGTGCAGCTGATGCAATATAATATAACAACTATGAACTGGTTGGTGAAGGAACAAGATACACTTGAAGATGCACTAGGTCTATATTAATTTCAGGGAAAGGGAAATGTCAACAATCCTAGCAGCCAACTTTCCTCGTGATGTTAGAACCAAAGATTGGATACATTTTAGTGGTGACTTAATTGAACTAACCAGAACTTAAGAGATCATGGGCTACTTTAATCATGAAAAGCAAAGGCAAATGACATTCATCAAGATGGACTTGTGAAGTTGTGAAGCAACAGAAATTTTCCAAGCCCAACTTTTTCCTTTTGTGTTTTCTTTTCCACCCTAAGCATAGAGAGGAAGCAAATTGCATGAGCTATTTGTCTTCCATCTGTCAACATTTTCCATTTGCAACTCTTGTATGCATATGATGGATTTCTGTATTGCTGATAAGAATCTCTTGTGGAGACCTCTAAACTCAAATAAGAGATGTAGTTAACAATGAAATAAATTTGCCACCAAGTGTACCAAAATTACCTTTCCATTTGGAAACTCTGCTCGATAAACCCGACCAAGGGAACCTTCGCCAACAAGGCAATCCTGGCTAAAGCTATTTGTTGCAACCTGAAGAGAAGCAACAGTATATGATGTTGCAGTTATAGGGATTTTTGGTCGTTTTACAGGCACATTCTTGCCATGTAACTTTTCAATTATCACTGTGTCACTAGGAGGTACTGGAGTTGTTGCAGAAGAACTTTTCACTCTCAGCTCTTGCATCTCTTTCTCATTCGCTAAAAAAGACAGGTAAAAATGAGTGCATAATTTACTTATATGATAAAGGTAGTTACCAAGTATAACATGTAACTTCAAAAATATGAACAAAAAGAATTAATAATATAAAAAACTGAAATTGCACCTTAGCACATTTAATCAAAAACATAAAAAAAGTTTGTGAGAAAAGGAGGTACCTTTATCTGCACCACCAACAGCAGACCTTCCAGTATCATTCCTGCTATTTATACTATGATCTTTGCCCTTTGGGACATTGCGAAGTAATAATATTACAGCTAGTGTGATGCATAATGCACCAAGTGTTGAGCCTAAAACTATTCCTATCAGTGGACCTGTAGTCAATTTTTTCTTGTTGCTTGCATTATCTGGAGAAATTGATTTACCCTCAGACCCCTGTGGTGTATTTGGAGATTCCTGAGTGTTGTTATGAGTACTGTGCTGTCTACTTGGAGGTGGAGGCATGTATGGTGGTGGATGTGGAGCCAGACTGTTAGAAAAGAAATTACCTCCAATCCTGCATATGAAATTGCAAGCATAAAATAAGGAACGATGGAGAAAAAAAAAAAGACTCGTAAAAGTGATAAGCAAGATCTTCTTTGCTACTCACTCAAGATCTGAAATTGAACTGAACTCCTGAGGTATCCAGCCGTTGAACTGGTTATTTGCAATATTTCTGATAAAAATTAGCCATATCAGACTCATCTTTTATACAAAGTGCAATTGCAACACTTTCTACAAGGTAACATACAGATTAGATAGGCTCAGATTTGAAAGAACATTTACTGGGCCAGTCAATTGATTGTTTTGCAAGTAACTGAAAAAGAAGCAAAAAGAAAAAATTAGGAAGCTCCACTCTTGCATACGACTGAAAAGCCCAAAAAAATGCAGCTATTAATTTTGTTGCACTTACAGACTCAAAAGGTTTGACAGAGAGCCAAAAGAGTTTGGAAGATCACCAGTAAAGTTGTTGAAAGACAAATCCCTGTCATGGCATGCTTACAATCTTAATATTTGCATACAAAGCACAACCTAAGATATCTTGACAGAATGATTTATCTTCACAAGCAGGTAAGACAGTTGGTCTTATATATATGTAGAGAAGACCTAACCATGAATTTCTATCACTCGTGCTGTTCAACATTCATATAGAAATATCAACAAATAGTTTTCTTTATGAAACTTCACTGATTAAACTAGTTAAAGGCATACTACTATTACTTATAATGGCTTTGTTAGCACAAGAAGGTTTTCAGATGAATTTTTTGTCTTTAATTGGTAAGTAAAATGTAACTTTAGCAAGCTGATCCAAACATGGCAAGCATGCAAGTGCCCCTACCACAATACCTTCCAAGAATCATGAATCTTAATTCTTCTGCTTAAGAACCATCTCTTTAAACTTATATGCATGTATACAATTGCTATAAAAAATTCCTTAGGACACTTTAATACTGTTAAGCGGAAGATTAAATTATCCCTGGTTAGACATAAATCAATTACTAGAAAAACATAGTCATCTATGATCACCTATCTTCTTGCATCTTATGCTATGTGAGTATATCATGTTAGTAATTTAGCCAAAAACCAAGCTAGTCTACCTTCATTCACCTATTATCATGCGACCTACAAACAAGCGGACATCTGTATGAAGAGTAATAGAACAGTGCCACTTCAGTATCTATTGGTACAATAATGTAACAACAAACTGTTATATCTGTGATTTTTCTCCATCACGATTCGCATGGAAGGTTAATACTCTTACTTGATGAAGCTAACAAGGTATAGCATCTGTATTTAGATTTGATGAACTTCATCAGTGTTTAAATAATAAAGAACATATTCAATAAGTTTACCGTCTCTTTTTCGCATATTAGATAAGATCAAAAATTTAAAAGTAGCACAAGCAAGCAGAAAAAAGTACAAATAGCCAAAAATCCTACAATTCAGAGAGATCCTGAAGATTTCTGAAGATATCACCAACTGCTTGAGATAGTAAGTTGTGGCTGAGATTTCTATAATCAACATAATTCATATACTGGTCAGTACCAAAAGTACAGTTCCAACATCATGAGGCATATGGCTTCACAGTAAGCAACTTACAGATAATTGAGTGAAGCCATGGCAGATATAGAGTATGGGAGGTTCCCAGAAAGATTATTGCCAGCAAGGTTCCTGCACCATTCGAGGAAGCAAATCATATCAATTCATCAGTAATGAAAATGTGTTGTAAAAGAGGGGGAAAAAAAGATCTAAGTGATCGAACATAAAAGCATTACAGATAGGTTAGGTTTGGCGGTAATTGATATGGAATGGTCTCACGTATGTCGTTGTTGCTCAAGTCCCTGTCACCAAACACAAAAAAGGAAGGATTAGGAGGCATGCTTGATCAAAAATTGATGTTTATCGATGGAATGGAACATAAGGGAGATTTCTCACAGTGTTTTCAAGGACAAGAGATCTGAAAGGAGGTAGCCCAGGGAACCATTGAGCCCTAATCCCGACAGCTGGCTGTAGTGGCAGATGAAGCAGAATAATTACCAAAGAAGATCGAAAGAAGTATTGGGCGTAGCAAAGTGGAAGACTAGGAAACATTACACGGCAGTGACGGATGAACCAGAGCAAGAAACCCCCTTCCACGAGTCGCCACACGGATCACCGCCGCTCGGCGTCCACCCAGAAAGCTGCGAAGGGCTATTCAAAGAAGCATACAACACGCCGAGAGCTTGAACTGCAAAAGAACCCCTCTACATTCTGACCGCTCAACTCTAAAGAAATCGAACGCAACTATAAAAAACCGATCTTTTTCCTCACAAGAAAAAAGAGCGCACGCAAAACCCATAAAAACATCATCTTGGCGATCATCAATTAATCGACGAATCTCGCAAATAAATATTACCATCCAACGAATCGGTGGCTGATTCCACCACCACAGCGGCGGGGAGGAGGAGCAGAACGACCAGATCGAACAGAGCCGTCAATGCCACCGCGGTGCGACCCATTCCAATGAAGAAACGGGAAGGAGGCCTCGTCTCTTCCCTTGATCCCACAACCTTTTCTCTCCTCCCACCGCTACCCGTTGCTGCCTGTGATGACAGCGCAGGCGATTCATATGCTTGCTTCCGACAGAGAAGCGGTGTCGGCCAAGTTCCCTTTTTTTCCTAATATTTTTTTCCTTTAAGGAAAGGACTCGGCAAGCGGTGGAAGGAGAGGAGAAGGGGGGAATGGACAAAAGGGGGGAAAAAGGAATAATGGCAATGCGAAGTGTATTACTCGGTTTTGCTTGCTCAAAACCAAAACTATCACAGAGAAGAGCACATTCATATTACTTCCTTTTGCTTGCTTCATCACTGCATGTCAACTCTTGCTTTTTCTTCCTCACTTACTGTGTTAATTGTCTTCTGAAGTCCTAACATTGTACTTTGATGACCCATCTTGCAAGCAAGGCATGCATGCAGAGAGAGAGAGAGAGAGAGAGAGAGGAGTCATTTAACTATTAGTTCATGACTGTCCTTGGCTACGCCATTAAAATATGCAGCTGGAGCTTAACTGCACTCCAAGGAAGAGTTACAGACAAGAAAGGGAGTCAGAACGTGATGACCACGGGCACACATAAATGAGCGAGCAGGGAGCACCATTACAACTCCACCTACCCGACCTCTTCCTTCTCAGCTTTTTTGCCTTTCCTCTGTTCAGTCCTACTGAAGGTCATACATACTACTTGGACCGGAACAGAGTCATCTTCCACACTTGACCACGATCAATTACCTCATGTTTTCTGAGTACTCAAATAGACTGTAGTTTCTCCTCCACGCATCTCGCTAATCTCATAACAGGCCATGTTCATGGATGGAGCAATTAATCTCTGACAGCAGAGTGAGAGAGCTTGTTCAAACCTTGGATCCTGGAACCAGTTGATGCATATACAATATGACAGAGTGATCGATGGGACGACAAGAGTCACACTGCCGGTGGCACGTAATAGTATAGTTGATCTATTGTTGGGGAATAAGAAGAAAGAAAGACATTATGAAGAGAGAGAGAGAGAGAGAGTGAGAGAGTGAGAGAGAGAGAGAAGCATGTTATGGATCATACCATGTATAGGAGAACAAGGAAGAAGAATCTGAGGACAAATAGGTAGTCACAGTCCCTGAACATGGAAATGGTCAAAGCTTCAAGAATATTTATTTGACTGGGGAGGGAGTAAATGTTGAAAATTGATTGTAGTATGTATATATATATATATATATATATATATATATCGAAATAAAATAGTGGATTGAACCGATTTAATATAATTTGTCGAATTAAAGCAACTAAAAAAAGGAGGGATTCTGTGGGGAAAAAAAAAGATATTTCTCTAAAAATAATTAAAACATATTTTCTCTACATAACACAAAGGCTCCCTTATATTTGAGAATCCCCAATACCTAGTTGTTGTGCTTCGATTCCGTATCATCAACAGTATTTTGAGATCGACAATTCAAGTAAATTGCTATTTATATGACTGAATCACATCAGCAACTTTTCTGGATGATGTGATCTCTCATAGATTCGATATAAGGACAGAATCCACGTATATATTTCTGAGAGGCCGCATCGCCATTAATGGTCCCCAAAAAAGATCTTACAGCGCCAGAATGTGGAAGCTAATCTCCCACTGTCACTGCTGTTATTACTACGACTACGTGGGAATCCACAACTAGTATGCGATCTGATCGAAGTAGCATCTATAACTTTTGCGCAGGAAAAAGCCAGGATTCCTGGCAATGATCGAGGGGTGGAGAGCTACCGCTGGGAACGAAGCTTAGCACATCTCCAGAACTGTATCTTGTTTCTTAGCTTGTCGAGATGCCCCATTAAGCAGTGCCAGTACGAGAAGAAGACATATTCCTGTCTTCAGATACCGACATGAAGATTTCCCACGTAGAATACTACCAAGAATTCAGCAAGAAAGAGAAGTCCTCGAGCATCTGAAGGTAGAATCTAAAAGTACAGTGTCGAAGATTATAAGTAGTAGTGATGAGCAAATGTAATCTTTCTTTGTAGGGCAGTCACATGCAGCAACAGCTAAAGATCACACACCACAATTGCATGAAGGCAAAAGTTCCATGGAGGATATTACATGACTACTACTGCGCATGCCAAATCCCCATGCACGTCTATGCCTCTTGCAACAGATCAACACACGTACATAGTTCGACATCAACAAAACCAGAGGAAGAGCAACAAATGCAGCGGCAACAACAGCTCTTGTTAGACGCCTGCATGCTTGGGATTCGGCATGTGGGATGGAGGCGGGGAAGCACCAGAAGGATCGCCACGGTTCTTGGCGTGAAACTTTCTGATGAACTCCGAGGCCGATGCATCGACGCAGCGTCGGCCGGCGTGCCTCTCGGCCTCCACCTGCACAATCTCCACCACGTGCTCGGGCTGCGCCGGCAGGGCGGCCACTTCGCCGCGGCCACGCCCGAAAGGCATCTTGGCGAACACAAGGGACGACATCCTGACGAGCTGCACTGCCATCATGGCCGACCTCTCGCAGATGCTCTTGTTCTTGCGCCTGCCAGCCATGGCTCGCTCCTGCTCTCGCCTGTTGAAGACTCGCAAGATGAGGTGCGATGTGCTACGGTATTTAAGGAGGGAAAGAGGGTTTGGTGTTGCTCGTCTCAGATAGAGTGGAAAGGAGATGAAAGAATCATGTATGATCTAATGGAGATCTCAAGCATCCTTGGTGTCTATGGTGCTCTACATCTATAGGTTAAGTGTTAGAATGATGCATCCTACGAACTTTGGGAAGGAACAAAGATGCTCTCTAAAGAACCCTATCATAACATCTAGGGAGAGAGAGAGTGAGGATTTGTTCCCACATTATTCCCATGTATTTTATTAGTATTCTCTAGTGGTTAGGGACCATTTGGGTAGGTAGGAAGAATAGAATTTACTACCTCAGAATTGCGGCGATGATTTGATTTAGATATGTGAAATGGTCTTCTTCCTTGCGGGAATTCCTCTTCGAGTGGGAGACAACCGAAACATCTCAAGGAAAAGATGGATTACAAAACAGATGGAGGAAAGTTGCATGGATTCTTCTTTTCTCTGATAAACTTCTCCTGGCTTTTAGATGAGCACATGTTTAGCATCTGAACTATATGCATTAGAAAGAGGAGTAGTGAGGAAGTCCTAACAGGAGTTTCATTCTTCATCTTAATCAAGTGTGTTTCCAGATTGCCAAGAAGATAGATCCATTGTGGCATCTTGGATTGCATGAACCAGCTTAAGGAGAGCTTGAAACCATCCAAGGTTTTACAGCAGAAACACAATTGGAAACCTAATGCTCTGGCTAATGTGAAATATTAGTAGGAACTAATTCTTGGCTCATGGTTGGATGAAGTACTACTCAATACATATAATTCATGAAGCTTTTAGGGGTTCTAATATATGTAATTTTATTCATGCGAGATATTAGATAAAGAGGTACAAATAATTAAAAGGAAATTATCGAGAAAAAATGGTTCACAAAGTACCAAAGGAAATATTATGGCTTCAAGTTTAGGACTCAAACGCGAATACAATTCACATTTCTTTGGCGCGAGAAAATAAAATAAAACCACTAATTGACCCGTATTTATGTAACGGCTATGAGGGGCATTTTGGTACTTGAGGCCACACAACTTTTGAAAAGGGCCACCGACTCCTTCTCCATCCCTCTCTCTGCCTTCTTCCATTGTCGATCACACACACCCTACTCTTCGATTCCCGTCGCCCCCTCTCTTTCTCGATCTCCATCTCCATCTCCATCTCCCTCCGCTTCGTTCCTCGGATGAGATCCAAAGGACGGCCCTGAGATCCGTCAGCAGAAGCAGCATCCACGTGCGGCCGCAGAGTAGCGGCAGCGACAGACGAAGATGCAAGACCTCTTCGGATCGGTGCGGAGATCCCTCGTGTTCCGTCCAAACCCTAACGGAAACGATGGCGGCGGCGGAAATGGCGGTGGAGGAATAGCGGAAAAGATCGGATCTTGCCTCAGGAAGTCCCGGATCGGACTGGGGCTAGGGTTCGGGGGGTCTGCCCCCAGACTCCCTCCCCCGCATCCGGTGGAGACCGATGACGCACTCCCGATCCGGTGGCGAAAGGGCGAACTCATCGGTTGTGGCGCCTTCGGCCATGTCTACATGGGTATGAATCTCGATTCGGGGGAGCTGCTTGCCGTGAAACAGGTAAACATATGTTGATACCTGTTGTTTTGGTTAGGGCTTTTAATTTTGTTCGTACGATGATGGTCTTGATCCATGGGTTTGTTCGTTTGCAGGTCTTGATCGGGACTAGCAATGCTTCCAAGGAGAAAGCTCAGGTTACGATCTTGTCCTGCCATTCCTTCTCTTATCGTTAAAATCTATTTTCCCATCCCGATAAGTGGAGTCTGGTGTTGATGATTCTTTTATCTCTGATTTGTTCTATATTTGGTGGTAGGCTCATATAAGGGAGCTTGAGGAAGAAGTAAAACTTCTAAAGAAACTTTCTCATCCAAATATAGTGGTGAGTGCTTTCTGTCAGACCATTTGTTGTGAACTCGATACCTATTTTATGAACTTATTGCTTTTACATTGCTCATAAAAGTTTTGTACCTTTTGCTCTTGTTGGGTTTGTGGCAGAGATATTTGGGAACAGCTAGGGAGGAGGAGACACTAAATATTTTGTTGGAGTTCGTCCCAGGCGGATCCATCTCATCATTACTTGGAAAATTTGGGTCCTTCCCAGAGGCTGTAAGTAACTTTGTTCTTATGCTGGAGCGAGGCATGAGACAAATGCTGATGCTTGACCAACATAATCTCTCTTTTAAACAGGTTATAAGAATGTATACCAAGCAGCTATTGCAGGGGCTCGACTATCTTCATCGAAATGGAATCATACACAGGGACATAAAGGCATGAAATTTTCCTTCATGGCGTCTGGGTATTGCTTTGATATCTTTTTTTCTGAAAGTATTGGACTTTGTGCTAATTCAGGGGGCCAATATTCTCGTGGATAACAAGGGTTGCATTAAGCTAGCAGATTTTGGGGCATCTAAACAAGTAGCGAAGTTGGTAAGACAAGAAACTAGTTATTATTTTTATGATGCTTTTTATGAAAAATCATACTGCTGATTAAACAATTTCCAAAACACATCAAAGTTTCACTTGTAGATCACATTGTAAAACACTAATAATTAGACTTCCAAATGAATCTAGTATTCTGTTTTGCTAATATGCCACCAATCTATATTTATGTTTCATAGCTGATGATCTGGTTAAGAATCTGGTTTAGAATTATTTATTATAGTGCATTCTTATTTGATCAATTAGCATTATAAGTTGTTCTTTTCTTCCCACAGCTATATAACAAGTATCCATTTTTTTTTTTCTCGCATGACTCCTTTTTTTCATTTCTAAATTTATTTAGAACATGGTTTACCTACAAGATATGGACCGATCAAACAAATAAAAGTGAACTACTATGGCAGCTTTCTTATTTGAACAATTGTTCTGCACTAGATAAACTTGGCCATGTACAAGAAGAATCTATATAGTCATGCTAGATTCTTTCTTCTTTCTTTTCTATCGCAAGGCCTTAACTTATTATCACCCTCCACTTGTGGGCATGACATTTTCCTCAGGCAACTATGAATGCAGCCAAGTCAATGAAGGGTACTCCATACTGGATGGCACCAGAAGTAATTCTTCAAACTGGGCATAGCTTGTAAGCATTAAACCTTTCCATCTTTTCTTTTTGGCATCAGTAAATGATTAGATGCACATTCCTTTTTTCAGTATAATTGCATGAAGAAATTTTCCTATACCAGATTGTAATTGTTTCATCAATTTCTTTTGCCCGTTGTTAGTAAAAGTTTGACTTTAGCATTGGCTTGGGGGCTGATCCCATTTATATTACTGTTTTCTAGTCCTGGATGAATTAAAGAAGCTTCTTAACCCTTTAGTTGTGTAGCTGGTTAGATAGAAGCCTTTTTCCCCTTTAGCACTGATGATGGCTGGTGATGGACATTATCATATGACACTCGTCATGGGACTCATCAGTTATATCCATACTTATTCTTTTTTGCTTTGCAGGTCTATTTGGTAGCTCAAAAGATGCTAGTTTGTTTTTCTAGTGGAAAAGAGTCTTGCCAACTTTAATGTGAAACATGTGTGAACTTCGTTTTGTTTTAGTTTGTTTATCAAATGGTAGGAAAACTGATTACTAACACTCAAAGCCTGAAATTTCATTAACAGAAAATAATGGTAGTTTGTTTTTGTTCCTGCTTTTCTTATAACAACTGTGCATTTTGAGATGTACCACTGCAATCATGTTGTCGGTTCTAAGGTATATGATTCTGCTTTCCAATTTAATTAGCTCCGTTATTGTTTATTTGACTTCTGATCGTACTTTTCTTGCAATGAACTTGTACATAAGCCAGATATAGTTTCTGAAATATTCTTAACTGTCTCAGCTCAGCTGATATATGGAGTGTTGGTTGCACTGTTATAGAGATGGCTACAGGTAAGCCTCCCTGGAGTCAGCAATATCAAGAGGTATGCTCTTTGCCCCACTCTTGGTCTTTCTGAACTTTGACCAAGCACTTTAAACATCCAATGTGTTTTCCATTCCTTGCCGGTAAACACTGTACTATTATCCAGGTTGCTGCCCTTTTCCACATCGGAACAACAAAGTCTCATCCTCCTATACCCGAACATCTCTCTTCAGAAGCCAAGGATTTTCTTTTGAAATGCTTACAGAAGTATGTCCGATTTTCTACTCCATTTCTTTTGATCTTGATTTTGTTTGACATTCTTGATTTCATATATAGGCAGCTGTTCTCGAGTGTTATCTTCTTGATGATGCTCCAAAGTAAATTATTCAACCAGCCTAGACATGAACTCTGTGATGATGCCTGTTAAATATTGGGATGGACAAATTTAATTTTGAATATCAATGAAACTTGTTGCAATAATTTAATCTCTCTCAGGTGCTGTTATGTGAACATTCCAAGTTCTTATTATTATTAATTGTGAGCTCATAATTTGATTTAGCTGTGAAAATTATGACTCCTAAAATTTTTTAAAGAAAAAGGATTTTACAACTATTTGGAACTGTATTTACTGGATACACAATAATGCTGGACTGGTATTGACAATTTATTAGCAACTATTTCTTGAGTAAATTGGACATTTTAATGCCTTAACATATGAACTCTCAGGAGTTGAAGCTAGTACATTTCTTTAACAAATTTATTCCTTGCTTGATTTTCGTTTCTCTTATGTTCCTTGCCAGATTTCTGGCAGACTAACATGTAATTGTTCACAGGGAACCCAACTTGAGGGCTACTGCATCTGATTTGCTGCAGGTATTGTAAATCTTGAAATTATTGTGAGAAAAAAAGGGTTTCGTCATCTCATATGTTATTTATTGATCTTATACGTTACGTGCAGCATCCATTTGTTACCAAGGAATTTCAGGATATGCATCCAATACATCGCTCTGCAGTTGTGGTTAGTTGATCCATGTTGATGCTAATCATTTCTAGCCCATGATTCTTCCTTTTCTCTGTTCTTTTATATATTTCTTCCCTGACACATGTTCGATGACCAGGAACCCCCTAAAAATGTATCCCTGCCATCCAAATCATTCACAAAGAACAAGTATGCAAGATTAGATGTCACTGAGATTTCTTAGATTGTACCACGTAACTGCAATATTTAACTTTGGAGAGGCTTTTATTACAGCAATACTATAATGGCT